CATCAAAATACCAATGATATTTTTCACAGAACTAGAACAAATAATCCCAAAATTTGTATGGAACCACAAAAGATCCCAGAAATAAACCTATGCTTATATGGTAAATTAATCTATGACAAAGGAGGCAAGAATATATAATGGGAAAAGACATTCTCTTCAATAAATGGTGTTGAGAAAACTGGACAGCCACATGCAAAAGAATAAAACTGTACACCATATACACCATACACAAAATCTTTCACCATATACAAAAATAAGTTCAAAATAGAATAAAGATTTAAATGAAAGACGTGAAGCCATAAAATTCCTAGAAGAAAACATAGCTAATAAGCTCTTTGGCATTGGTCTTAGCAACATTTTTTTGGATATGTCTCCTCAGGCAAAGACAACAAAATAAAAAATAAACAAATAGGACTACTTCAAACTAAAAAGCTTTTGCACAGTGAAGGAAACCATCAACAAAACAAAAAAGTAATCTGCTGAACGGAAGGAAATATTGGCAAAAGATAGATTCGATAGGAAGTTGATATCAAAATATATGAAGAACTCATACAACTCAATATCAAAAAAACAATTCGATTAATAAATGTGCAGAGGATCTGAATAGACATTTTTCCGGAGAAGACATACAGATGGCCAACAGACACATGAAAAGATGCTGAGCACCACTAATCATCAGGGAAATACAAATCAAAACCTATTAAGATTTCACATCACACCTGCCAGAATGGCTATTGTCAAAAAGATAAGAAATAACAATTGTTAACAAGAATGTGGAGAAAAGGGAACACTTGTGCACAGTTGGGAATGTAAATTGGTGCAGCCACTGTGGAAAACAGTATGGAAGCTCCTCAAAAAATTACAAATGATGATCCAGCAATTCCACTTCTGGGTATTTATCTGAAGAAAATGAAGACACTAATTCAAAAAGATATATGCACACCTATGTTCACTGCAACTTTATTTATAATAGATAAGACATGGAAACAACCTAAGTGTCCATCAATAGATGAATGGATAAAGATGTAGTATATATATTATGGATATATATTCAATGGAATATTACTCAGGCATAAAAAAAGAATGAAACCTTGCCATTTGCGACAAGACGGATGGACATAGAGGATATTATGTTAACTGAAATAAGTCAGACAGAGAAAGACAAATAGCATATGATTTCATTTATGTGTGGAACCTAAAAAACAAACGTATCTTTGTATGGTGACAAATAGTAACTAGATGTATCATGGTGATCATCTTGTACTGTATAAAAGTATCAAATCACTATGTCATACATCTGAAACTAACATATGCAATCGCATGTGAACTATCATTCAATAAAACACACAAGTGGCTGTGCCACTTTGCATCCCCACCAGTAATGAATGAGAATGTTTTTCCACATCTTCACTGTTATTTGGTGTTGTCAGTGTTTTGGAGTTTAGCCTAAATGTAGTACTTTCATTTTTGTTCTATTCTAAATTCTTTCTAGCTTTTATTATGATTACTTTTTGACACGTGTTATTTAAATTGTGTTGTTAACAATTTCTAAGTGTATAGAGTTTCCTATGTTTTTCATTTACTTTGAGCCTTAGTTACGTTATGGTCAGAGCATGTGTTCTCTGTGGTGGTGTCTGTGGGAACCTGTGTTCTGATATAGTGAGTGGTCACTCTGTGAATTTCTATGGACTTGAAAACAGTGCAGAGTCTCTCATTGTGGAGGCCTGGGCTTAGCGTACCTACGGAATGATCAAGTGAAGGGGTCTTTGCCTTTCCCCCGTGCCTGAACCTGCGCTGGTACCTTTCCCAATTCTTTGGATCCTTGCAGACCAAAGCCTTGTCTTGTTCTTCACCATCTGGCTTCATGATTAGAAGCAGAATTACCTCTGTGTCAGGAAATGTGAGTCTCAGCGGCTCTTAGTTCCTCATAGAGCATGGCATGTTTGCCTGGACACCCCACTACCCTGTGCTGGGATGACTTCTCTTTCAGGGCTAGATCCTCACCCCTATACAGCTCCGCCTGCCCAGACTGGACAAAAATATCCCTGCATCTGATGTTCCCGTGCCACCCACCCAGGGCACAGTCTTGACCCAGGATAAAATCCCTTCCCAGTCAGCCCTACCCTCACTTTCTGTATTTGCTTTCTGGGTCTGAGACAGATGCCTGGCGGTAAGTGCAATGGTTTGAAGTCCAGACTCCCCACTCTCCTAGCACATACAGCCACGTCCATGTCAGGGAGACTCTAAGAAGAACAGTGCAGTTACCTGACAGCTCACGCTCAGCCTCTCCATGGCTCCTCGCCTGGACAGCTGTGCTGATTCCTCTTCTCTCTAACTCACCCGTTCACCCGTCCCTGCTGTCATCTGTTTCCACGGAGTGAGACTGATCCACAGGACACATGCATGGCCCTCCTGCTCACTTTGGCTCTCAGTCTCCTCAAGCTGGGGTCAGGTAAACCTTTCAGGCTGACTGCTCTCTGTCTCAATTTGAATTTTGTAGCCCCACTGATTGTAGCGCAATGGGATGGGGGCATCTTTGTTGTTTGCATTCCCCCGCATCTCCTAGTGAAAGCCTGGCATCTACCAACGTCAGAGTGTGGAAGAGACGGGGCAGCACAAAAGACTCAGGTACTGTGGAAACTATGATACTAGTCCACAAATATTGGGAGCGGGGTGCTGAAAGAAGCCACAGGAGTGGAGAAGGGATACACTAAGGATGTTCTAGTGAATAAGCTGTCTGTCCCAGGTGGGCTGTGGGGTTTGGCGGAGAGATCAGGAGTAGAGGACCCTGGTTTCTGACTTGGGTGCCTGGGTGGAAGGAGACCAAGTTAAGGACATTTGGGGAGCAGACAGTGTGCCCAGCTGTGGACATGCTGAGTTGGAAACCCCTGTAGTATGTGACAGGGTGGGAGAAGGTATTTTGATTTTTAAGTAAGGATAAGTTGGATTCTGGCTTATCCTGGACAGAAATTCACTTTTGTTTCTTCTGTCAGTTACCAACTACACAAAGCCTAGCATATGGGACGTCGAGTAATTGAAAAGAATTCACAGAGAAGGCTGCTGCTTAGAGCAGAATACAGGTCTCTGAGTCGTCGGTGTCCGGCTGTAAAAGGTTCAGTTAACTGTCTTCACCTTCTCCCTGTGCCGGTTCCATCTTGCCACCTGTCTGCTAAACAAAGCTAAGAAGCAGGAAATAAGGGCTTCACAACACATGCTGTCTTCACACAACAAAATCCATACATGTTGCTCAGAAGAGAAACTCTTTTAAATGAATTCTCCTTCATTTTCTGAGGGGCTGCTTTGACTGCTGTCTGTTTCCTGGAGAGGGAGCAGAGCATCAGGGAAATCATCTCAGAGCAGAAAGATTTTGTGTTTTAAAAAGCCCATGTCCTCTGCTTATGAGCTTTGTGGCCCATAACTTCTCTAAGTGTCAGTTTGTTCATCGTGACGTGGAGATGATGTCCTCACAGGGCTGTTGTGAGGATTCCACGACTCGTGTATACAAAGCGTGGAGCACAGAGCTCTGTCGGCACAGAGTATGTGCTCAACAGCAGCTTTTCCTCACTGGTCCCCGGGGGAAGGAAGAGTCAAAAGGGTGGAAAGGGGCAAGGAAAATGACAACGCGAGGGCTGGACAGGGGAACAGAGAGACTCCATACCATGTTCCCTTAGCTCGAGAGCCCCCCACCAGCCCTGACGGCAGCACCAACAGCAGCCAGGCTGACCTAGGCTGAGGCCCCAAAGCAGACCAGGGACAAGGCCCGTCTGCAGGTGGCTTGTTTAGGAGGTGATTCTGGGAACAAAAGTGAGGGAGTGGGGAGAGTGAAGCCAGAAGGGAGGAAAACCATAAAAGGTGTGCTAATGAGCTGATTATTGCTGTGGGCAAGTGGGACTCAGTCCTACTGGGACCTTCTGAGCAGCTCAGAATCACCCCAACATCCTCTGCCTCTTGCACCCACTGGTGAGATGTGCCTCCAGGATTGTCAACATTTCAGCACTTCTGGCTTGCCCGTCACTTGACTGAGCAGGTTCCAAAGGGCACAGGAAGCCCGCAGCAGGGAGGCAGAGGCCAGGTTCCCAGGAGGCACTGCCAGCAGGCAGGGGCGATGCCCTCCCACTGCAGGAGGACTTAGGAGTGGGGTGAGGAGCAGGGCTTGGGGTCTGCTAGGCCAGGTCAGCCGTTGGATAGAGATCCTGCTGCAAAACCACATTTCATTTCATGAGACACTCCTTCAAAATGCATAAGTGAAATATATTTCTGAAAGATTTATAAAACGTATTTCAAGTAAGAAATAACTGTTGCTAGAATAGAAGTATTCAACTATTTGAAAATTCACGCATGATGCACTTTCCTATGACGTACATACATACCTCCACACGTATATGCACATATCATAAATGAATACATGTGAATTTATCAAGAGATCTTCCCAATCAAAGAGCCGTGTAACTAGAGGCCAAAGGGAGTGGGCTTTTTGATCTCTCTTAGGAAGAAATCTAATCATGACAAAATAGTAAGTGTGATTTACAGCAGGAAAATTACTAAAGTGATCATTAGACAAATGAGCTAGTGGGGGAAAATGTGGTGCTTGTTATTCAAAGAGTCTTCATTGTTTCCAGAACCTAGCTCTGTGCCGGGCACGGTGCTGGACAAGGGGCAGGCCAGGCTAAGCAAAATAGACAGGGCTTCTCCCCAGGGAACTGAGAGTCCTTTAGGGGAAACTCACAGAAAACGATTATCACACTTGAAACAAGATGGTGAAGACATTTTCAAAATGAGGGTGAGGTCAAAGTTATACCCAGAAAAATAAAACAAACTGAAGGTAAGACATGTTCAGAAAGCATTGAATGAAGCAGGATTCAAGGTCAAAATTATAAAGTGAAATAAAGAAAAGTACTACACAAGTGTGTAAGATACACTCCATGGAAAGGACACATCAGAGCATGAATGCCCTACAGAGTGAGACTCTGAGATGAAAACTGCCAGCCTCCTTGCCACAGTGTCATCGTGCGGCTTTCAGAATTAGCCGTTCAAGTAGATGAGTCAAACAAGGAAACACAAGTAAACGCTTCACTTACGCGCAGAGACGTTCCTCCACTGCAGCCACAACACAGTTACGGAACAGAATCTGTGCTCAAGGGAAACAAACTGCCCCAACTGGAGATTTCATTACTACATATCTCCCTCCTGGGTCATTAGAAAAGGGGTCATCTGTAATTTTTAGCAAAGAAGATGGAAAAGGGGCTGTTGTGAGTTTTTAGTAAAGCAGCTGGACAGAGGAGAGAATGTGGGGGTAGAATCTCCTCTAGTCGGGGGGTCTGCATTCAGAAAGTGCCTCTCATGCCTCTGAAAACTTACCTGGCCTCTCTGAGTTGGTGAAGAACTCCATTGCAGAAGGTCATGTTTCCCTGAGGCTGGAGGAAGTCACTCCCTTGGATGCTGGCCTGTATGGCTGCTGGTTCAGATCCCAGGTTAATGACCAGGCGGCCATCTGGGGCTGCAGGTGTCAGATCAGTTGCTTATTTCGGAGAACTCATAACTTAATTGTCTCTTAGAACCATCTGGGACTTTATAAACAGTTTGTTGAAGAAGGAGTTTCTTTACAAATCTTAGGTCATTTCACTAGAAGGCAAGATCCTACACTGTTCTGTGTTGTGTATAGTTCTATCTTATTTTATCACATGTGTAGATTTATGTAACACTGCAATATCAAGATATAGATCTATCTCATCACCACAAAGACCTCCCGCTGCTGAAGGAGAATTCTAGTCACGTTGACCCTCCTTACCCACCAACCTCCCCAGTCCCTGGCAGCTGCTAATCTCTTCACCATTTTCATAATTTTGTCATTTCTCAAATGTTACATAATAGAATTATACACTATATGACCTTTCGATATTGGCTTTTCCCCTCAACATCATGCCCTTGGGCTGCCTGTATCAATAATTTGTTCCTTTTTATTGCTGAATAGTGTTCCATGGTAGGGATGGACCAAGTTTGTTTGGTCATTCACCCACTGAAGGATGTTCAGATTGTTGCCAGTTTTTCGCTTTTACAAATAAGGCTTCCATGGTCTCTGTATAGAGATAAGTTTTCATTTCTCTAGGATAAATGCCCAAGAGCACAATTGCTGGATTGTATGATCAGAGTATGTTGAGGGAGTTTGTTTAGCCTTTATTTTTTTTTGAGGAGTTTTGGGTTTACAAAAAAAATTGACCGATTCTTCCCTCCCCACTAACCCCCTGGCAGCCACTGATCTTTTTCCTGTCTCATAGTTTTGCCTTTTCCAGAACTGATATACTTGGAACCATACAGTGTGTAGCCTTTTCGGATTGGTTTCTTTCACTTGCCAATATGCATTTAAGTTTCCTGTATGTCTTTTCTTATCTTGATAGCTCATTTCTTTTTATCAATAAATAATATTCTATCGTATGGATATATCAGCTTGTTTATCCGTTTACCTGTTGAAGGACCTCTTGGTCGTTTGCACGTTTTGGCTATAAACATTCCCGTGCAGGATTTTGTGCAGATGTATATTTAAATTCATTTGGGCAAATACTAAGTAGTGTAATTGCTGGATTGTATGGTGAGAGTATATTTGGTTTTGTAAGAAGCTGCCAGGCTCTCTTCCAAATTGGCTATACCGTTTTGCATTCCCACCAGCAATGAACGAGAGTTCCCACTGCCCCACATCCTCACCAGCATTTGGTGTTGTCTGTGTTTAGGACTTTAGCTACTCTAATAGGTATGTAGTGGCATCTTATTGTTTCAATTTACAATTCATTAATGACATATAACCTAGAGCATCCTTTCACACGCTTATTTGACATCAGTAAATCTTCTCTGGCAAACCATCTGTCAGATCTTTTGCCCTTTTTTTAAATTTCCTTGTTTGATTGCTTTTTTAAAAAAAAAATTTAATTTATTGAAATATATTTGACATATAACATTGTACGTTTAAGATGTAAAACATGTTGATTTAATATATTTATATATTGCAATATGATTGCCACTGCAGAATTAGCTAACACCTCTATCATGTCACATAATTATCATTTCTTATTTGTGGTGGTAACAATTATGATCTAGTCTTGTGGCAACTTTGAAGTTTATACTACAGTATAGTTGTCTATAATCACTATGCTGTGCGTTAGATCTACAATACTTATTTATCTACCAATTGCAAGTTTGTACCCTTAGATAACTTCTTCCCATTTACCCACTCTCCAGGCCCTGATAAACACCATTCTACTCTCTGTTTTTATGAGTTTGGCTTTTTTAGGTTCCACAGATAGGTGATATCATACAGTATTTTTCTTTCTCTGTCTGACTATCCTACTTAGCATAACGTCCTCAAGTTTCACTCATGTTGTTGCAAATGGTAGAATTTCCTTCTTATGGCTGAATAATATTCTATTGTGTGTGTGTGTGTGTATATATATATATATATATATATCTCATTTTCTTTTTTATGGTCAAATAATTTTCTATTGCGATATAATTGACATATAACATTGTGTAAGTTCAAGGTATACAACATATTGATATGATACATTTATATTGCAATATGATTGCTATTGTAGCGTTAGCTAACACCTCTATTGTGTCAAATAATTAACATTTCTTTTTGTGGTAGGAACAATTAAGATCTAGTCTCTTAGTAAATTTAATGTTTATAATACATTATAATTGTCTATAATCATTGTACTGTGTATTAGATCTCCAAGACTTATTTACCTACTAGTTGCCAGTATGTGCCCTTAAACAACTTCTCCCATTCCCCCACCCCGCAACCCCTGCTAACCACCATTCCACTCTCTGTTTGAGTTCAGTTTTTTTGAGATTCCGCATATAAAAGACACCACACAGTATTTGTCTTTCTCTGTATAACTTCTCTCACTTAGCATATTGTCCTTAAGATCCATCCATGTTGTCACACAGGGCAGGATTTCCTTTTATCTCATGGCTGAATAGTATTCCATTGTATATATATACCACATCTTTTTTGTCCATTCACCTGTTGATGGACACATGGGTTATTTCTATATCTTGGTTATTGTGAATAATGGTGCAATAAACACAGGAATGCATTTATCGCTTCAATATCCTGTTTTTATTTCTTTTGGATATATAACCAGAAGTGGAATTGCTGGATCATATGGTAGTTTTATTTTTAATTTTTTGAGCAACTTCCATACTGTTTTCCACAGTGGCTGAACCAATTTACACATTCACCAACAGTGTATGAGGGTTCCCTTTTCTCCACATCTTCACCGACACTTGTTATCTCTTGTCTTCTTGATAATAGCCATTTTAACAAGTGTGAGGTGATCTCATTGTGGTTTTGATTTGCGTTTCCCTGATGATTAGTGATGTTGAGCATCTTTCAATGTACCTGTTGGCCATTTGGGTGTCTTCTTTGGAAAAATATCTACTCAGTTCCTCTGCCTATTTTTTAATCTGATTGTCTATATTTTTTTGCTGTTGAGTTGTATGAGTTCTTTGGATATTTTGGATATTACTCCCTTATCTGATATACAATTTGCAAACATTTTCTCCCCTTCAGTAGGTTGTCTTTTCTATTTTGTTGATGGTTTCTTTTGCTGTGCAGACGCTTCTTAGTCTAATGTAGTCCAACGTGTTGATTTTCACTTTGGTTGCTTGTACTTTTGGTGTCTATTTAAAAATCATTGCCAAGGCCACTGTCAAGGAGCTTCTTCCCTATGTTTTTTCTAGGAGTTTTACTGTATCAGGTAAGTATTTAAGTCTTTAATCCATTTCAAGTTAATTTTTGTGAGTGGTAAGATAGGTGTCAAATTTCATTTTTTCTCTGTGTGGTTATAGTTTCCCAACACCATTTGTTGAAGAGACTCTCCTTTCCCCATAGAGTGTTCTTGGCCCCCTTGTCAAATATTAGTTGACTGTATATGCAGGAGGGTTATTTCTGGGCTCTTGATTCAATTCCATTGGTCTATGTGTCTCTTTTTATGCAAGGACCATGCTATTTTAATTACTATAGCTTTGTAGTACAGTTTGAAATCAGGAAGTATGATTCCTCTGGCTTTGTTCTTATTCACGATTGCTTCAGCTATTCAGGGCATTTTGGCTACACACAAATTTTGGATTGTTTTTTCTATTTCTGTGAAAAATATCATTGGAATTTTGATAGAGATCAAATTGAATCTATAGATAGCTTTGAGTGGCTTATAGTCTATTTTTTCTGCTATAAATATAACTGTCCTTACTTCCTTTTGGTTTCCATTTGCATGAAATATCTTTTTCCATGTCTTCAATTTGAGCCTATGTGTGTTCTTAAAGAAGAAGTGAGTCTCCTGTAGGCAGCATATAGTTGAGCCTTGTTTTATCAGCCATCCAATTAATCTGTGCCTTTTGATTGGTGATTTCAATCCATTTCCATGTAGAGTAATTATTGATATGCAAAGACTAACTAATGCCATCTTATTAATTGTTTTCCGGCTGTTTCATACTTCCAGTTTTTCTTTTTCTCTCTCTTGCTTCTTCTCTTTGTGAACTGGAGATTTTCCGTGGTGATATACTCTGATTCCCTTCTTTTCGTCTTTTGTGAATCTTCTGCGTTTTTGCTTTGTGATTACCATGAGGCTTACATAAAACATCTCATAGATAAAACAGTCCATTTTAAGCTGATAGCAACTTAACTTCAACTGCCTACAAAGATCCACTCTTTTACTCCTCCCCTTTTGTACTTTTGATGTCACAGTTTACCTCTTTTTAGATTATTTATTCATTAACAAATTATATTAGCTGTAGTTATTTTTAATACTCTTTTCCCTTAACCTTTATACTCTAGTTAAGTGGGTAACACAGCATCCTGTTGCAGAATTGGAGTTTTCTAAATCTGACTGTGTATTTTTTTTTATCAGTGTGTTGTATACTTCTGTATGTTTTCATGTTGCTGATTAGCATCTTTTCATTTCAGCATGAACTGCTTTCAGCATTTCTTGTAAGGCAGGTCTAGTGGTGATGAACTCCCTCAGATTTGTTTGTCTGGGAAAGTTTCATATTCTGTATGATTTCACTTATTTCAGATTTGTTGGTATTTGTTTACAGGCCAAGATATGATCTGTCTTGGTGAATGTTGGTCGTTGGCACTTGAATATGTGTTCCACTGTTGTTGGAAAGAGTATTCTATAAATGTCATTTAGATCCTATTGGTCGATTGTGGTGTTCAGACACTCTGTTTTCTCGCTGATTTTCTGTCTAATAATTCTATCAGTCGCTGAGAGTGAGGTGTTGAAATTTCCAACTAAAATTGTGGATTTGTTTTCATGAATATTCTGTTGTTAGATGCACACATATTTAGGATTGCTATGTCTTCTTAGTGTGTTCCTCCTTTTATCATTATGGAATGTCTATCTTTGTCTCTTGTCACTTTCTTTGTTCTGAAATGTAGTTTATTTGGTATTAATATAGCTACTCCTGCTTTATTTAAACTAACGTTTGCATGGTATATGTAATAAAGAGTCTGACTCCATTTTTTGATACTTTAATGCTGACAGCTTTCAATCCATACTCCACTCCCTTCCTGTTTTGCCCACATCTGGGTGAGCTGATAAAAATATCCCTAACACGCCTTCATTTGGTTTCAGCGAGGAGTTCAAATCCCAGAATCCTTGACCCACATGTGAAGGAAACTATACCTCAACCTGCCCTTCTAACCACAGTAAAAAGCAAACCAGTCTCCTGTTTTTGCTCTCATGCTATTTTCAGATCTGCTGGGGAGCCTGCTGTGTCTCCCCAGAAAGCCTCATGATGTGAATAGTAACCTTTGTCATACCTTCTTGATGCATGTATGATGTCATTGGTTTTGACATCTGTACCAAATTTTGAGCGAGGCTGGAAGGGGTGGTCCATCCTGCTTCTGGAGGATGAACACAATAGGATATATTTTTCCATTCTTTTACTTTTAGCCTACCTATGTCATTGTATTTGGTATGAGTTTTTTATAGACAGCATAGACTTGGGCTATTTTCTAACCTAATTCTACCAATTTCCAACATTTAATTGATTTATTAATTCATTTATTTAGACCAGTAGCATTTAAGTAATTATTGAGATTTAGGACTTAAGTATGCCATTTATTTCTGCTCTTTTCCTCTGTTTTCCCTTCATTTGTTTCTCTCTTTTTGACTTCTGTGGGTTACTAGAACATTTTTTGTTAGGATCCCATCTTGACTGATTTGTAATGTTTGGAGCATATCACTTTGTATAGTTTTCTCAGCAGTTGCTCTGGATATTACAATATACATAAATATTTGATCACAGTCTACTGGTATCAACACTTTACCACTTTAAGAAAAATTTGGAAATCTCACTCAGGTCCCTTTTCCCTCTCCACTGTTAAAATAACACTGCTTTGAGCACCACGTCAGGTAGTGCTATAACTTGTTTCAACCGTCAAGTGAATTTTCAAAACTTATGAGAATAGTCTATTTTATGTTTGCTCTTCGCGTGTTCTTCCTTCCTGATGTTCTCAAATTTTTTCTTTTATCATTTTCTTTGTTTGAAGAATTTTCTTAGCCCTTCTTTAAGGCTAGGTTTTGTTGTTAGTGCCATCAAGTCAATTCTGACTCCTAGTGACCCTGTACAGCAGAATAGAACCCCGGCCAGTCTTTTTGCACCATCCTTTCACCTTCTGGCACTATATCAGACAATGCTCTACTGCTATACATAGGGTTTTCACGGTCAGTTTTTTCAGAAGTGGGTGGCTAGGTCCTTCTTCCTAGTCTGTCTTAGTCTGGAAGCTATACTGAAACTTGCCCATCATGAGTGACTCTGCTGGTGTTTGAAATACCAGTGGCATAGCTTTCAGCATCACAGCAACACACAGCCACCACAATATGACAACCAACGGATGGTGGTGTGGTTCCCTGAACACGAAATGGACTCAGGTTGCAGTGATGAGAGCACCAAATCTTAACCACCAGACCACCAGGGCTGGCTAAGGCTAGGTTGGCAAGCAACAAATTCTCTAGTTCTCCTTCATCTGGAAATGTCTTGATTTCTCCTTCATTTCTGAAGGAGTTTTCCCAGATATAGGATTTCCTGTTGACAGCCCTTTTATCACTTAAAAGATATTGTGCCACTTCTTTCTGGCCTTTAATGTTTCTTCAGAGAAATCTGCTGTCATTCGAATCGATGTTCCTGTATGTACAGTACATCCTTTCTCTCTGGTTGCTTTCATGATTTTTTCTTCATCTTAGTTTTCAGAAGCTTAGTTTTTCTATTTCTAAGAGTGAGTTTCTTTGGGTTGTCCCACTTGGTGTTTGCTCAGCTTTTCAAAACTGTTGTTTCATGCTTTTCATTAAATTTGTGAGTTTATCAGTCATCATTTTTTTCAAATACTTTTTCAGCTGCACGATCTCTCTCCTCTCTTTCTGGGATTTTGATGATACACATGTTTGCTATTTTTTTAAGGTCCCTGAGAAGTGTAGTCTTTTTAAAAAAATTATTTTCTTTCTGTTGTTTTGATTCAGTAAATTCTATTGACTTATCCCCAGTTCACTAATTCTATCTTCCGTCACCTCAACTCTAGTATTAAGCACAACCAGTGTTTTTTATTTGCTATTGTATTTTTCCTTGTATAATTTCCATTTGATCCTTTTTTAAAATAAATTCTTTTTGATGAGATATTCTATTTTTTCATTTGTTTCAAGAGAAATTGTAGTCATTTGCTGAAGCGTTTTTATGACAGCTAACAAGCTTTTATGAGATAACCCCAACATCTGGTTTATCTCGGTGTTGGCTTAAGTCAATTGTCTTTTATCCTTTAAGATAAGATTTTCCTGGTTCTTTGTATGATAGCTAATTTTTAGTTGAAACCCAGACATTTTGGCTTTTATGTTAAGACTTGGATCCTATTTAAGGCTTCTATTTTAGCAGGCAATCACCTTAAGCTTAGCACTCAGGTCCCTGGTCTACTTTTGCCAGTTGTGTTTCCAGGGACAAGATAATTTTCAGAGCCTTTGCTGTACCATTTTGGTCTGCTTAGTCTACTTGGTGATGCTGAGGATCCCACTAATTTGTCCTGGTATTGCCTGTTTGAGTAGAAGGTGCTTCCCAAGGGCAGACTCCCTCGTGTGTCTGGGTGAGGGAAGGGAGTCTCTGGTCCAAAGGGACAGGAGCTCTTCCCATGGCCTCTTGTCAGTGGGGTTCCTGCTCAATCCTTCTGCAGGTACCTCTGGGCCCATCTGGTGTTATCAGTGATCTGGGAGAGGAGTGAGCCCACCTGTGCCACCTTCTTTTCCTAGGCACAGGGTGGACTATAAGATGCTCTGCTGTTGTGTTGTTCTTCTGGTCTTGGGTCCCTAGGAATCCACCTTCCTCTTTCCACATTTCAAGTTCCCTTGTGGTTGCCTCGTGCTATTTCTAGGGTTTATCCTTTTACTTAGTGAGAGGAGCAGGGAGAGATAAGTCTACACTATCTTACTTGAACCCCCTTTCTTAGTGGTTACACCATCAATCTTGCTTTCATTTATTCACTCAATAATCATTTATTGGTCTTTGTGCACTGGTCTAGACCTTGGGGAATATCAGAGTGCAGCATGTGGAGGGAAAGTTCTGTTTGGAATGGGAAGATGGGCGAAAACAAATCATCAAATTGAGATCACCTGTGTCGGGGACGTTCTCCTTTGTCTCTCAAGTCATAAAATTGGAGGTCAGGCTAAACATTCTTCAGCCTCCACTTAATCCTTTTTTGCCCCAAAGATTGGCACCTGAGCTAACAACGGTTGCCAATCTTTTTTTTCCTTCTTCTTCCCAAAGCCCCACCCCCACTCCCCAGTACGTAGTTGTATATTCTAGCTGTGAGTGCCTCTGGCCATGCTATGTGGGACGCCATGTCAGCATGGCCTGACGAGCAGTGCCATGTCCGCACCCAGGATCCCAACCGGTGAAACTCTCAGCTGCCAAAGTGGAGCGCAAACTTAACCACTTGGTCATGGGGCCGGCCCCTCACTTGATCCTTTTGAATGAAACTCCCAAATAGCTTCTGCTACTGGTTCTCACTTTCTGATACCCTTTCTCTTCTCTCACCCTTCTCGTCTCTCACCTGAGTAACTTCAGTGGTTGCCTCCTGGTTACTCTGTTGCTGCCTGGGAGTTTGGCTATAACTCACCTGCTGGAAGATAGTTAATAGCCCTCCAGGGCTACACTGCCCTCAGAGTCTACATGGCAATGGTCCACATTCCTTGGATTAATGCACTCACTCGATGGTCTGCCTCTGCACTTTCTCAGACCTCATCTCACACACATCCTTTCTTGCACATCACAGTGCAGAAATACTAAACTCTCACGGTCATCTTAGTCAGCTGGGGCTGCTATAGCAAGATGTCGTAGACTGGGTGGATCAAACAACTGAAATTTATTGCTCACAGTTCTGGAGGCTGGGAAGTCCAACATCAAAGTGCTGGCCAGTTCGGTTTCTGCTGAGAGCCTGCCTCCTCACAGGCAGTTGCCTTCTCTCTGTGTCCTCAGATGGTGGAGAGAGGGGAAGAGAGCTTTTTCTCATCTCTTCACATAAGGGCATAATCCCATCATGAGGGCTCTACTCTCATGACCTAATTATCTACCAGAAGCTCCACCTCCATTATCATAACACTGGAGGTTAGTTCTTCAACACACACAGTTTGCGGGGATAAAAACATTCAGTCCATAGCGTAGGTCCTTAAACACATCATGACATGTCTTCTTTCTGCACCATGGTGTCTACCTGACCTTCGGTCTGGCATGCTTCTCCCTCTTCTCATCTTGTCCACCTACAAAACCTTCATTTATCTGACACAGCAGGGTGCAATGTCACCTCCAGGAAGGTGTGGCTTCCCTGACAGTCACTCTCTCCTCTGTGCTAACTTGACCATGCTCACATATTTGCAGTTTTCACAAGGAAACGTGTTTGTTTACAGTTGTCTCCCTGTTTAGTCAGTGAGTTCTGAGAGTCTGGTTCCTGAGGAAAATCCCACCTGTGATTTTTAAGGCCTGACCATAGGCAATCAAAAAGGCTTTACTTGACAGGCCTCATGGCTCTTCCACACCAGCCTTGGTGCACAGCCAGCTCATTGTCATCTCTGGAGAGTTAGCTGTAGGCAAGGCTCCAACATCCCTGGCTCTTCATGCTCTTCCATATATTTGCATTCCTGGCTGAGGTGCCTTCATTCCTAGGTCTCTTTACCTGAGGCCTTGGGCAGAGTTTGGGAGAGGAGGGGGAAAACTTGAAGACACTTGTCCCTACTCTAACTCTGTGCACTGCAATTTTCCACAAGTAGCCTTACCCCCTCACCCTCCTCCTGACCTCAGAGTCCATGAAACTGCTGGAGTCTTATTCAGGGCTCTGTCAACAGTGACATAATCCCCACCCCTGCAAGGATATTCTTGGCCCTAGGCTAGCATGCCATTTAATTGGAGGAAATGGAGCAGGGAGGAGTCAGCATGTGCATATACTAAGACAGTGAATGATTAAAGACTTCACTGTTTGATTTTGGCTCATTGTTTCTTTAATTAGCTACTCTGATGGCTGAAAGTTCAGGTCTCTCTCTACCTCAGCTGAGCTCTTGCAAAGTTCCTCATTAGAAGGGGTTCTGTCTTATTCACGTCATATTTAGTGCTTAGGAATATCCAGGTATATAGCAGTTGTTAAATGCATGTTAACTGAACAAAGACCATGGAAGGGCTTATAGCAGTCGTAGAACTGTGTAGGTGCCTGTAAGAGAGAGAATGAGGAGACATGGAGTGCAGGGAGTGTTATGTCTATAGCTTCACAAATCTGGCTGAGAACACTTGTGGCCTTGGATACAAGCTTGCTTTCCTTCCTTCCCTGTTTTCTCCCCAGCGCTGGGCTCAGCTCTTCTCACTTCTATCATGGGATATGTTGATGGAGGCATCCATCTACCCTGCAAGTCCTCACGTTGGTTCCCTCAATGCACAGTCAAGTGGAAAGGTCCACAGGGACATGATTTGCTCTCAGACTCAAAGGCGAATACAGACAGACACAGCCTGTTTGCTGGGGAGACCTCCTTTACAGTCCAAGAAAATGCTGGGAGCACATCATGCTCCATCTGATGCCAGCCTTGATATCAGCTCCCCTACATTAGACCCAGTGTGTATGGGGTTAAAACCAAAGCACTCTTTCCCTGCTGGCTCCCTGGCTCCAGAATCCACCATCTGCCATGGAGACAGACAGCCAAGGTCGCCCACCTGTCTTCCTTATCATCTCCTCCTCCTTCCTGCAAGCAGCCTCCCAAGGCCAAACACAGGCTGGTAGGAAAGCTCAGACCAACAAGGCCACTGACTCCCCACCACACACACACACACACACACACACAAGAGCCCCATTCCTCAAAAACCTTTAAAACCCCTTGCCTCCCCTCTTTCGGGGAAACGAGATAAAACAAGACAAATTTGAGGGCTCACTCTTGTCTCCTGACTGGAATCATTCAAAATAAAAACTCTTCCCTTGCCATAGCCTGGCGTTCCAGTTTTAATTTGGCCCCTCTTGTGTGGCGGGTAAAGAACCTATGTTTGTAGACGCTAACACAGCCAGCTCCCCAACTAAGGTTGAGAGGTGGGATCCAGGATACGGATAGGAGGTGAGTGCGCGGAGGAGGGGCACGGGTGGGGTGGAAGCTTGGGTCACCCAGAGGGAGCATGGGAGCCTCTGTCTCAGGATTGTTGTGTAGGATTGCTCAGTTTAATGATTAGTTTTGAAATTCAAAGGTCAATGAGGTAAAAAAAATAAAATCATAAACATTTGATTAGGTGGAAACAGAATTGTTTAACATTCCAGAGGAAAAGAATTAAGTGCTTCCTTCACCACATAATGGTCTTCATGGTGCAACCCTCCAAAGTCAACACATGCAAAATTGAAGAACACCAACTGCAGGAACAAAAACAAAAAAATGTTTACTCATTTTATAAAAAACATACTACTAAATACGTACTCAAACGTTACTCTGGGAAACAGAACAGAATAAAAATGTAAATAATTTCAGGAAAGATTGAAAAATAATAGGACAAGTAATGTAAATCCAAGTATGTCAGTAATCACAATCAACGTAAAAAGACAATTTGCCAGTTAAAAGACAAAGAATGTCAGACTGGATTAAAAACATCTCAACTACTGCAATTAATGAGAGAAAAATGTAACCCTATGAGGTATTCATTGAAAATTCGATTAAAATTCAACTGAAAAGTGAAAAGGCATAATAGACAAATGTTAACCAAAGGAGCACCATAACAAATATATTAGTGTTAACAGAAGAAAAAAAAGTTTTAAGAAAAAAGGGCTTATTAGGATAGTTATTTCATAAACATAAAAAGTTTATTCACTAGAAAATTATAAAAAATTTTAAATATATATGCACCTTATAGTAGTATATCTCAACATATATAAAGTAAATATCAATAAAAGTATAAGGAGAAGTTGAAATACTATGAGTTCTAAAGCTGATTAAATAAGTAGACAAAATTAGTAACAATATAGAATATTTTATCTATGAATTAGCAACCTTGATATAATAGATATTCCTAGAGGACTTCGTCACCAAAAATCATTATTTTGAAGCACATGTGAAATATTTACAAAATTTCACCAAACACTGACACATAAAACTGTTTTCAGAAAGTTTCGTGGAATTAGCATCATTCAGACAATACTCTCCAGCCACAATATAATGAAGTGATGATAATAAAAAATACTTTAACACTCTCATATGTTTGAAAGAAATTCAGTGAGTATTTAAAAGTCTTCCCACAAAGACAACATCAGAGCTTTATTGTTTTATACACAAAATCCACCAAGAATTCAAGAAAACAGGAAATTTCAGTCACACAGCAAGTCTTCCAGCAAACAGAATGAGATGAAATATTAAAGTCATTTTGTTAGGTTAACATAATTTTGATGCCAAACCAAACAAGGTCAGTTTGAAAAAGGAAAAGTATTGACCAACTTTATTCAGAAGCAAAACTATAAAAGTCTTTTCAGAATTTTTGGAAACTCAAACCAAAAGGATATAAAAAAAAATCTAATACATCATGACCAAATTGAACTTATCCTGGAATGAAAGGCAAGGTCAACATTGGAATTTATATTAATGTAATTCTTACCTTAACTAATCAAAGGAGAAAAATTATCATGTTCTCAATAGATGTAAACAAAGCTTAGATAAATTTCAACATCCATTCATTATTAAAACTCTTGTGAATCCAGAAATAGAAGAAAACTATTTTTAAAAAGTATCTAAAAATACCTACATCAAACATCATACATAATGGTGTGCCATTTATACTCAATAAGTGAATAAGGATGACAACCTTAAATATTGCTGTTCAGCACCGTGCTGAAGTACCAGCCACGCAACAAGGGAAGAAGCTGATAAAAGAATTATGACTTTTAGAAAGGAAGAAATAGAATGCCCTCCTTGTTCAGAGTATATGATGGCATACACTGAAAATCTAGAGGAATTCACAGATGAATTATTTCAATTCATAAAAGAATTCATGTTCATAAGATTAATAAAGATAAATTGCATAACTATATGCCACAAAAAAACCAACATACCATGTATAATGATAAAAAAACAACTAGGAAAAAATCCAATAAAACTTTTGCAAACTCTTATGAAGATATATAAGACTTTATTAAAAGACGCTAACAAGAACTAAAATAAGAGCAGAGATGTAACTTCTCTCAGATAAGAAGGTACCATATTTTTAAAATATCACTTATCCCATAATTGATCTATATGTTCAATATAATACTATTGAAAATCTCAATAGAGTTTTCTTAGAACTAGACAAGTCAATCCGAAATTTATGTGGCTGAGCAAATGGCCAATAATTGCCAAGACACAGCAAAACAAGAAACTGAGAAGCTTAGGTTAGTATATATGAAGACATAGCCCAGAGCTGTGATGATGAAGCCAGCCAAAATTACGGGCACCAAGACAGACAAGTGGACAACGGCACAAAACAAAGAGCCAGGAAACAAAATCGACACCCGAGCAGAAACTTGAAGTGACAGAGGTGACACTGCACGCAAGAGTGTGTGGAGCAAATAAACAATGCTGGCACAGCTGTGTAAAAGAAAATGAAATTGAACATCTACCTCATTTTACATACAAAAATAAATCCAGATGGAGTAAGACTTAGGAAGAAACATAACATTTTAAACGTGTAGGAGAAATTATAGAAAAATACCTTTTTAATCTTGGGATATCAGATGACTTCTTAACTGAGAATCAAACTGCCTTTCTAGTCAGCAATCACTGAGGGGTCTGTGGACTGTTTTTCAGAGACATTTTTCCAGCCCTCAGCCTGGCGCCTGCCCTCTATTTTACTGGGATTACTCTGCTTTGTCCTAGGTGGTAATATCAAGGGTCTGAGAATTTCCTTCCCCAAAGACCAGGCTAAGTGAGAGAGGCAAGCACGGCCCCGTGGCTTATTCACACACCCAACTGGGCTGGGGTCAGGGATGCTCCCTCCCTCCTCCGGGTCTGCTCTTCCAGCCCCTGCTCCAGGCCATCCCCGACCACAGGGACCACAGTCCTCGCCCTCTCCAGGCTGACCCACGATGGCTCCCGTGGGAATGTCAGCCCCACAGGCCCTTTCTGTAGAACCCAGAATTAGGGAAAGAAGAATTTTCAATACCTGTAGACCTCATATAAATTTCTAAGACCACATCAAAACAGCAGTAAAAAAGTTTCAGAGTAGTTAAAAAGACTTTATGAAAGAGGAAATAAAAGTGAAGACAAGATAAAATAATATTCAGCCTCATTAAGTTTCTACCTCAAGAACCATTTCTCCACCTTGGGGGTGATACTGCCCCCTTGAGAATGTGTGCCATGATCCCACCTTCCCTCCCAGTCTCTCTCCCATCTCATCTTCCCTTCTCCCAGATAACCTCCACTCCACCTCCACAAGATCCTAGATGCCAGTCCCTCCCTTCAGTGTGAACATTCCTGAACTCTCGTTTTACCCCAAATAGAGACAGTACAGTGGTGGAGTGGGGGCGCAAAGGAGAGTTTCAGAAGAGCCCCCATCCTTCACCCACAGCTCATCTCCCTGAGCAAAGAGCCACAGCTGTGTTTGTACCTTACACACTCCTGTGTCTACTACTGGATACTGTGTTTCTATTTCAGGGGAAATCTGGGCAGAATTGAGCCTTCTTGTCATGTTCTGTGCTTCCACACAGTTCTCCTGGGTCCCTCTTCTTCATGATTTGAGCCACTGTGCACTATCTTGACTCTAGACTGGACAGGAAGCATGGGCAGGCCAACAAGGGCAGCTGTTTTCCTCTCCCCATAGACTAATGAATTCATCTGCACATACATAGGGGGTTTAGGATGGGCATCGAAACGCATTGATGGAAATCCCTATAAATTGTCTGCAAATCTTGCCCATTGGTACATTTCCTAAAGAGAAGAACTGTAAATTTTATGAGCTCTCTCAGGGTATGTGGACCCAGGATGGGGAAGAACCCATGGACTATCTCCCTCAGCTTCCCTCTGTCCTGAAGCCTTTATCAGGGCTGTATATAGCACTGATTTTTTTTTTTGAGTCATGCACTCCAGGAAAAATTGGGTAAGTGTTATCACACGCAGAGACTTTGTCCCACACTGTCCTATGGGCCCCTGTTCTGTGACTTCAGATCTTTTGTATTTTTGGTTTCAGACTGGATAAAGAAGCATAGAGTGGCAGGTGAGAGAAGCTGCTCCCCACCCCCATTTATCTCTTCCTTACAAGGCTCTAGTTTATGATTCTTACAACCTGCAGGCCATGGGTCTCTGCAGAGACAAGCTTGTGATGGAGACCTTGAAACTGCTGCAGATACCGGGGGAGGTGCATTTTGTAGAGAATGCCCATGGTCTTCATCAGATCTGGTGGGTCCATGACACCAAAAAAGGGCAGCCACCCTTTGTCTCCCCTCTCCCTACCTCCTGCTCTCCATGTGAGCACTGATCTGCCTCCTCTGTTTGCTTGTTTTCAGAATCAAGAGAGGCCCAGAAACATATAGGTACCAACCACTGTGGGGGTGACAGTGGGACAGAGCCTTGGGTGGACATAGGAGAGGGAGCTCACCAGTAACTGATATAGGATCTAGAAGGGAGAGGGCAGGGCCTGTGCCAGCCAAGACGGGGGTCCCAGGCAAAGATCCAGGGAATTGAGGGTATTATGGCCAGGAGTCTGGGCTGAAGGGGAAGGAGGTGAAGTTGGGCAGGAAGTGAGGGTGAGAGGAAGATGGATAGTGAGGTCGCTCTAGTCTCACAAAGTCAAACAGGGGCTTATGTGGAGGGACAGTGGTAGGCTGAGGCAATATACAGGCGTTATGACCTCACGGTTAGGCATCTCCAGGCCTTGTTGAGGCCCCAGGGCTGCAGTGGAGATGAGAGAGGGGATGGGCAGTGTCTGGTGGGGATTCTGACTCTGGGACCTCACTTGACCTGCCCTGAGCCAGTCTGCAGTAGGAGCGGGTAACCTCTGGGCCCAGCCCAGGTCCCTCCTCAGTAACTCAGGCTCTCTCTCCCATACCACACCCCCGTGGAGGTGACTCTGGACCCAGACATGGCTAGCCCCCTTCTTATCTGAAGCTGTAACCCATAGAAATACTCCCCAGAAGGTGTCCTGATTGGAAGAAGAGATTTACAAGGACGTGTGCAGTGGTTTCTCAGGATTTCCAAGCAGGGAAACATTGCTGGGAGGAGGACATGGGACACAGTAAAGCCAGTGTTTGGGAATGTGCTGGGACAACATGGACAGGAGGGCAGAGAATGTGACTTTTTCTCTCAACAATGGGTACTGGGTCCTCAGACTGTGGAGAAAACACTCGTGTTTCACATTGAATCCCCATAGAATCAGCCTTTCTTCAGGCAGCCCCCCTAAATGAGTGGGGATCTTCATGGACTACAAAGGTGGGGCCATGTCCTTCTTCAGTACAAATGACCAGTCCCTCATTTGTAGCCTGACCCATCACTTTGAAGGCTTATTGAGGTCCCACTTTTGGTGTGAAAAGTAAGAGGTGAAAAATGTGCCTCTATGTCACCTGTGCAGCACCCCAGGGATCAGAAACAGAAGCCCGTTCTCAGAGACCCCCACCCCCAGACACAGACAACCTAGATCCTGCCCACAAGGGACCTCACCTTTCCTCTCCAGGAGTGATGCCCAAAGGGAATCACAGCTCATAGTCTCCTTAAAGATGCTAAGGTTTCTCTCCAGCTCCAGAGCCTGCAGCAGCAGCCAGCAGTGATGGCTTCTAGGTGAGGGGAGCTTGGCCCATCCATGTGGCAACCATGACCCTGAGATAGGGAGGGAAGAAGGCTGACAATGGATTTAATTTGCCCCAACTCTCCGTAGCTAAATGACCTTTTATAAGGAACAACCTCTCAGGCTCCTCACCTGTTAAGCAGGGGCAAGGATTCCCACCTCAGGGTCGTTAGCAAAGGTTAAAGATGCAGTAATGTGAATCATCTTGGTGATGTTAGCTAATGATTTGTTCATATATTACACTTTGTGCCAAGAGAATTACTGTTCATATATTTCACACTAATTTATTTTCCATACTCTACATTACCCATGGAATATTGATTGAGCACTTGTTCTGTGCCAGGCCTGGCCCAGGCGCTAGAGATGTCGTTTGGAATACAGGGCCCAGCCTGGTGGAGGATCCTCATGGGCTCATCTTTGGGAGTGTCAGAGGGTCCCATTCTCTCTTCTCAAGATCTCAGAGAAGACAGACAGCATATTGTGCACCTAAAAGGGGCAGGGCATGGAAACTGTTAAATAACCAAAATTCAACCAAGTAAATTTTAAAGATCTAATTGGATTTACTGAATGATTCATGAGTCAGTCAGCATCCCATCTAGCAAGTAGAGAGGAGCTCTGAGGACCTGTGCAAAATGGAAGGCTTTTATAGGCACACGAAGAAAGGGATTACCTCACCTTCCTTTGGGGGATGAAAAGGGCCCACGTAGCAGCTTATCTCATTGATGCTGACCAGAAAATTCCAGATTTAAGATTACATTTCTGGGGAAGGTTGAAACTGCAATTAGGTTAGGTATGAAGCCCTGGTTTGGTGATGTGGGCTTAGCATAAGCGGCTCCATTTGGGGCCTTTTGTTTCTTTTTGACAAAACAAACTTAGAGGATCAGTAGACTGGAGATAAGGACACTGCAGACAGGAGATGCCCCCTGCTGTCGGTTCAGTGAGTCTCCTCTTGGGTTTCGAGCTCTGCTCCCTTTGTGTCCTGAGATCTCAGACTTTGTTCGGGATCTGGAGAGGCTTTGTCCTCTCAATGGAGGGACTGTGTCCTCCATGAACCCGTGCTCTGTCCTTGATGAGCACTCAGTTGTTGTCCGGAGGGAGCACAGTTCCCCGTGGGGCTCGGACTCACTGAGAATCCAGGAGTTTTTCTTAGGTTTTCAGATTCCTTTTGGAATCCAGGATAGGAATCCAGCAACTTTTCTTTTGTTTCTAGATTCCTCCAGGGATCAGGGCCAGGACTTTAACAACTTTCTTGTGTTTTCAGAGGAAATTTCAGAAACAGAATCCTAGTCATCTAAATTTTCTGAGAGAAACCTTCCTTCAGGGGCCCTGGCCAGGTTTATGTTTAAGAACTCTGGCCTCATACATGCACGTTTGTAACTAAGTGGGCTGAGCAGACCAAAAGCAGTCTGCAATTTCAATGGCCATTATGGAGAACTTTCAATCTCCCCAAACTAGCTTTTCTTAAAACCAAATTGGAAAATTGTGGCTCTAAAATTAAGAAAAATGAATGGTATGTCTATTTTTATCGGTACCCTGAGGCTTCTGGATATGCACAAAGCTCTAAAATTGCCTCACTACAAGATAGCTTGTCTAAATTAGCCAAAACAACTACAAAAGTGAGGGAGAACAAAATGGCTTCTGAAGCCTCATGTCCGCCTCCTCCTTCTTCTTTGTCTCAGGCGCCACACTAATTGGGTTTATTTGGTAAGTCAAATTACAGGATAAGCATGGTTGATAACTCATAATAAGCTTTTTTAGGTTATATTGTTTGGGTGAGTGTTACTAAAAAGTGTTCTAGAAATTGTATAAAATTCCTGTAATTCTAGCTACTATCTAAAATGTATGTCACAAAAATCCTCAAAGTTTCTTGTCAATTCTATTTACCCATTGCCTTTTTAAAAGTCTTTTGTCAGTTATAGACAGTTATTGTTTTTATTCTGATGCTTTTACAAATATGTTTCATGTTCAAAGAGATTCATGGAAAAGACTTTGACAAGTACTGTGGAATACAAGTTTTGATAACTTTAAAATCATAACACTGAACTGGGTGGGAATTTCTGGAACTCAAGTGGACAGCTGATTGCTTTGATGTTTTGTTTTCCAGATGTAAAGAACCACTTTTTCTTCTCTCCTTTAAGCAATCTATAACTTACAGCAACTTGGTAAAGTGTATCTTTGCAACAAGAGTTGAAAATTTATCTTTCTCTCTCTACTTGATCCCTCCAGAATTCAGAAACTCTTAAATATGCTTTTCATGGCAATACCTGTATTTGCATGGGTTACGTGAGGGCCTGTTCTCCTCGTAGCAAAACACAATTGGAAATACTGGCTAGATTACCAAGGCTTCAACTAGAATGTTATATTTAAGAAAGATGTACTTGGACTCAGAGATGATCACACAGCTTTAAGAAACTGCTTGAAAAATCAGCCTAGTACCTTGCTTACAAGCAGGAATCTCTCTGTGACTCAGAGAGTTGGCCGACTCCACAGCCAAAGCAATTTCAGCTCAGTAATGGTCGCTTAAGTCACTGGCCAAGGTAGTTTTAGATAATTATATAGCCCTTGGTTATCTACTTGCTGAGCAAGGTGGTAACTGTGCAGTGGCAAACGCCTCCTGTTGCAATGAATATTCACTTCCTGTGGATAGATGCTTCTGGGGAAATAGAAACCCAATTACCTATGATTAGAGAGCAAGCACATTGGCTACAAGTTTCACCTGACAATTCACTGTCTTTGGACTTGTTCAGCTGGTTACCTTCTGGTCTGGGCTCCTGGTTTGCAACCATCCTGAAAAACGGGTTTACAGCGTTGTTGTTCATCTTACTCTGTACACTTGTTGTGAAGTTCTGCACCTATTGCCTGTTGAGCTTCTGTAAAAATGGCACACCCAATAAGGGCTCAACAATTGTTAGCTCAACAATTTGAAACGATTTCCGACACTTACAACCTCGGACAATGATAGAGTTTCAATAAGAAATGCGTGAGAGTTCTCCCTCCTGATCTTCCTTTTACTCAACATGTTGCCTTGGCAGCTGGAGAATACAATCACTATGCAGCCTCCTTCCAACGTGGGACACAACAACCAGGAAAGGTCCTTCCTGGTATCGACGGACCAGACTACTATGTGCAGAGACCCTGACTGTTGATCAGCAGTGCTTTCATAGAAAGATGTTGATCAAAAGGGAAAAATGTGCAAACGTGGAAATTAATTTTTAAAAAACCTTAACTAATTTGGAGCGGGAAGGCCTGTCCAGGGAGTTTTCACCCTCATTACACATCCTCAATTACACCAAACAGGAAGAGACAGAGGCTTGCATCTTTCACAGGAAACGCAATTACTTTATTACTGAAGGAAGATTTCTCTCCACCCAGCAACAGCCCAGCCAATGAGAAACACTGCAGCTCAGCCAATGAGAAATGCCACAGCTCAGCCAATGAGAAGTGCCACAGCTCAGCCAATGAGAAGTGCCACAGCTCAGCCAATGAGAAGTGCTACAGGTCAGCCAATGAGAAATGCCAGAGCTCACCCAATGAGAAGCTGTTGCCACCCTGATTTGTTACTCTCCTCCAACGGACTTTGCTGTAGAACAGCCCCTCCTTCTCCCCCTTTTTCTCTGTAAAAGCAGCTCCTCCTCTGTGCTCTGGGTTTGTCTGTGGTTCACTGCAGCATGTGCTTAGTGAATTGCAATCGTTTTGGCTAGTCCCAAATAAACTCATTTTGGGGATAAAATAACAAGCAAACTTGCTTTTTAAGTTGACATACTCACCTGCAGGGCAAGGGCTTGATTCCCCTCCCCCTCTTTATTTACCAGTTTTTCAAAATGAGGGTTTCCTTAGCACCAAATGAGGTTTTGTGTGTTTCTTAGTGCCATTATGAATTTGCGGATTTATACATATTAGATGCGTTTCAGTCCATTGCAGTTACGATTCTCACTTAAGCTCAAACCAGTTTGCCCAAAAGGAGCTGCCTCAGGTTGGCCGCGGCTTGCTCTCGCCCAGCCCGGGCAGTCATGCTCACTCCCTCCTCCACCAGCCATTCTCCAAGGCACCCTAGTTACTTTGTGCGGTGAAGCAGATTTACATATCTATAAGCCTTTTACGTTTCCACGCTAAGACTGCACGAGCTCAGAAAGTACTTATTCTCATTTTGCAGGAATTCCAGTCCATTCCTAACGGTCCACAGCTGTCCCGGGTTTCACGTTTAACTTTGAAACATCCTGAACTAAACTTCGGGTCAAAGAGCAGCAGGACATCCAGAACCAGTGAGATGAGGTCCGCCAGGCCTCCCAGAGCAGAACAGGAACTGCGTCGAGGGCCTCGCGAGCGCCGCGCCCCGGCGGCCCCTCCGCTTTGGTTCCGCGTGCGCAAAGTCCCGGCCCGAGACCGCGGCCGTCTGGGGGACCGGGGTACAGGGTACAGGGCCGGGCGGCGGGCGCGGGGAGCGGCCGGAAAAGAGGGTTGACAGGGCTGCCCCGCCTCGGCTGCGGAGGAGGGGCGGGCGCGCGGCCCGGGAGGCCGCCTGCAGCGCGAGCCCGCGCCCTTTCTGGGGGGCCGGGTGGAATTTTGATATTTTTTCCCTAAGTTTAAGAATGGTTTGAATGGTTGCAACACGTAGAAGAGAATTTCGCCTTCACTGCGTGGCCCTTCCAGCCTCTGACGGGGACGGAATCCGCCGCCCCCACATCTGCCCCTCGGCATAGGGACGGTGTGAGCAGCGGTCTGGGCAGAGCCGGCCTGGGGGAGCGCGCTGCC